TGTGTGGTAGTTCATATAAGTTCAGGGATGAAGGTGCCAAGGTCCACTGTTGACTTTGAATTGCGCCATACCGCGTACTTTTTCCAGTATCGTGTATGTGTTCAGTGCGCATTTTCTTCAATTTTGCATCCTCTTTGCTTTTTTCAAATAGGCCCGAAAAAAGTAGGGTGCGGTTACTTTTGGCACGATTAAAAGTAAATTGCGCAAATGTTAGTGGGCATTGTTCATCCCACTGGGAACTCACACATCCTTTACATAAATAAATAATATATTACAATGCCTTGATTATTTCTCATTATCCTTCCTTAAGGTGCATGATTTGGAATTTGCTGATATCCAACAACGGGTTGTTGAAGGCCTTCGTCAAGGAAATGATGCTTTGAAGAAGATGAATGCTGTGAGTTTTGCAAGGATCCTCTTTCCATGGTTTTTCGCAAATCCCATCTTGTAGATCTTCGACATGGACGAGATTGAAAAATTAATGGAGGAAACCAAGGAGGCTGCGGAGTTCCAAGAGGTAGGCGTTCTTCGTGTGGACGATTTTGCTTTCGTTTTTCTTCTGCCCTTCGCTGGTCACCGTTTTCTCGTAGCGCACTATTCTTGGTGTTTTCGTGCTACTGTGTTTAAATGGCGAATTTCCTAGGAAATCTCTGCCCTGCTCACTGGGCAGTTGTCTCCCACCGATGTCGAAGAAGCAGAGCATGAGTTGCAGCAGCTGTTGGCTGCTCAAGTTAGCGACGTAGTTCTACCAGACGTTCCAGCTCACGAGCTCCCCCACAGAGAAAAAGGTTGGTTGTTCAAGCAAATAATTCAGGCTGCTTTGCTTTATTTCTCTTTACAGAAAAAGAAGCTCCGCATAAGAAACGAGAAGCGGTTGCAATGGAAGTGTGATTTCTTGAAGGCGGTATTTTTGTAGTATACATTATACATTTCCTTATTGCTACACCTGTGATACTATGCATATGTATATCTGTAGATAAAGTTGATCTACGCTTTTGGTCCTGTAAATTGCCGCAACTTACGATCCTCATGGACTTTCATTCATATATTATCTAAAAGTGACAATCTTCATATGTGTGGAGCTGAATATCTGTCAGACAAGGGGTTTTCTGAAATTATATAAAGTAATCTCTTTTTGGCGATCGGGCTCAGTATAACTATGCAAATAGACACTTCGCTGGTGCAGTGACTATAACTTTTTGCTAGGTTTTTTTTTCATTTTTTGTTAAAAAAAGGATTTTTGACCGGTTCATGGCATCGTCTCGTCTGAACACCTTTGACGTCAATCCAAGGCTGCACTCTGTCGTTGAGGAGGCAAAATCGCATTTGAAAGCAGGCGTTACCGAGTATTTCCTTGTTTGAACCACCTTTGGTTGCGTAAGAACATCTACTTATTGATTTTCCTTATTTGCTGCAGGACACCCTCAACCTGCTTTTTTCAGCAGTTAAAAACCCAAAGAGATAAAATCAAACAGTTCGTTCGTCGAAAGGAAAAATGCATGGAGCGTGAGAGAGAGATGGCTCGGCAGTTACTTAAGGATGGCCGGAAGGAGTAAGTCAAGCTTTTTTTTTGAATTTTCCATCATTATTGTATTTTTACCTATCAAAATTGCAGTCGCGCACTTCTTCTATTGAAAAAGAAAAGATTCCAAGAGAATGTAATCGAAAGAACACTCAAGCAGTTGGATAATATTGATAGAATGGTTAGTTGTGTTTTCTGAATGGTTCTTCTATTAAACTTCGGTAGGTCATATAAGGGGAACATACAGGGAAGTTGGGCGGGTCTGTAAAGATTCGGAACGATGTGGGTTTGGGGAAGGCATGCTTCCAGTAGCCTAGTGCCACACACTAGCGTGGATTGCGCTGCTGCCTTTCCACCCGTCATCGTCTGACGATTCCAGCAGGGAGAGCATTAGCGTCGATGAGGTCAGCACCGAAGAAGCACGCTTAGGGGCCTGATCAATGGGCAAAAAGCGGTCCTATTTCTTGGGTTTTAGGCAGTTCCTCTTGTTTTTTTCTTCATCCATGCATCACTGGAAACCGCTAGGTTGATTTTTCATGGGCTGTTTTTTTCGTCGTGAACTCCATCTTTAACTCAGCGATGTTGATAGTTGACTTAACAATGTTCATTGGAAATATCCTGTGTGGTAGTTCATATAAGTTCAGGGATGAAGGTGCCAAGGTCACTGTTGACTTTGAATTGCGCCATGCCGCGTACTTTTTCCAGTATCGTGTATGTGTTCAATGCGCATTTTCTTCAATTTTGCATCCTCTTTGCTTTTTTTTCAAATAGGTCCGAAAAGTAGGGTGCGGTTACCTTTGGCGCGATTAAAAGTAAATTGCGCAAATGTTGGTGGGCGCTGTTAGTCCCATTGGTAACTCAGACATCTCTCATATACATATTATTCGCAATGCCTTAATTATTTCTTATGCACCTTCCTTAAGGTGCATGATTTGGAATTTGCTGATATCCAACAACGGGTTGTTGAAGGCCTTCGTCAAGGAAATGATGCTTTGAAGAAGATGAATGCTGTGAGTTTTGCAAGGTTCCTCTTTCCATCGTTTTTCGCAAAACTCATCTTGTAG